TATAATTAATTATTTACTTATTTATTTTTTGCTCCTCTCTTTTATAATAGGAATGTAATGTTAACTACTGAATCAAACTTATCTGACCTAATTAGCAACTTAACTAGAATCTCTAGACTAAATTTAACTTGAAGTCAATTCGTTATAATAGATTTACTACATTAAAAATAGGTTGTTCATTTTATATATTCGTTTCATTTGCCTCCCTCCCCCTCCCCTTTCGAGAGTTCTGGAAAATGATGTTAACCGAAAAATTAACTTCGAACGGCCTTAATGAATCGGCATAACCTGGTACAGATTTCGGACGTGCTACCTTTTTTATTTCCTAAAATATAGCCACTATATGAGTTTATTATAAAAAATTAAACTGTAGATAAAAATAGTATACAAGATACAGTACTTAAATTTTTTAATACAATAAACATCCTTAGTCAAACTGCAAAGTATGTCATAACATATGGTGCTAGTTAATCATACTACAAGTAAATTTAATAAACTCATCTTCTGGTTACGTAAGTAATGAGTATCACATTACACTTTGGTAATTTTCTGATTTATAAATAGGAATACGTACAGTACATATGTACACATTTTTAGGAATTATTATAACGATAATAAACATGGCCTTAACATGTCTTTCTCAAGAACTCACCCAACTTCTTGAAAGTGAATATGATTATAATGTAATAATCAAAGTTGATGAAAAACCGAATGTTCAACTTTTCAAAGCACATTCAGCAATATTGTACCAACGCTCGTTATACTTTCGACAAAAACTAACTAATGCGATAAAGAATAATAATATACTAGAAATTAGATTACCTAATGTATCCGCAAAGGAATTTCACATTATTATTAAGTAAGTTACTATTTGGTAATTTATTACAAATTTTTTTGATGCATTTTAATAACGTTTTATATATAGATACATTTATGGTGGTATAATCTTTTTGGAAAATCTTGAAGCCTCTACTATACTTGATCTCCTAATTACGGCTAATGAATTTAATTTGACAGAGTTGGTTATTATTATTCAATCTTATCTTATTAATAAAGATGAATCTTGGCTATACCAAAATTTTCTTCGTATTTATCTTTTAAGCTTTCAGGATGAAAGCTTGCAAAAATTTTACAATGACATCCTTAAGAAATATTCTTGCACAATTTTTAGCTTTGATTATTTCCCCACACTACACGAAGATGTTTTAATCAGTCTTCTAAAACTTGACGATTTGCAAATCGATGAATCTGAAATTTGGGATAAAGTTATTCTATGGGGAAAAGAAAATACTCTAAATTTACCATCCAACCTTGATCAATGGAAAGATGAAAATTTTAAGTCTTTAAAAGAAACACTCCGAAATTGTCTTCTTCATATTAGATATTTTCAAATTTCTGGTGATAATGTCTGGAAAAAAATCAAACCATATCAACGTATTCTTGAAAAAAATATATGGGAAGATATTATTTCAAGATTTATAGCTCCGAATACGACTATTACTTCTCAAATTTTGCCTCCTCGTAGGAAATTACTCCCCAAAGAATCTATATTCCTCAAGGAATCTATCATTACGCCGTCTTCTTCAATAATTACTTTACAACATGCTGCTGAAATATCGTCATGGATTGACAGAAGTCTAATAATCAATGAAGTTGCAAAAATTCCATACGTATTTAAATTATTACTTAGAGGCAGTAGAGACGGTTTTTCAGGCAAAAAATTCCATAAGCTGTGTGATAATATTCCTGGTACTGTAATTGTTGCTAAAAACAATATTACAGATGAGATACGTGGCGGTTATAATCCTCTTATCTGGAAAGTTACTGGCAAGAAAAGTGAATGGGCTGCAACAACTGATAGTTTCATTTTCTCTTTAAAAAGTAGAAATCAGAATAAATCTATTCTGAGTCGTGTGAGTAATGAATCAATGGCAATCCTTTGCAGTAGAAGATCACGAGGTCCATGGTTTGGTAATGACTTTGGAATGGAAGATAAATCTTTTAAGAGATCAAAAACATGGCATTGTGTAAAAAGTATTTATCATAATAGTATCGGCAGTGTCACAAATTCTTCACGGTTTCATGTAGATGATTATGAAGTATTTCAAGTAATACCGCTTGTTAAGATCTAAATTTTGCTTCCTTTATATTCTTTATTTATTTATTTCTTTGAGAATTGTGGATCATTACATTCACTCATAATGATTAGATTGAATCTAATTTTAATGATTCGTATAATTTTGGGTTCAAGCATTTCAATATCTAGCTATTTGGATGAAAACTAAAAATATAAGCATTGAATATAAATTGTCCGAACAATTATAAAATAATAAATTTATATTGAATTCTTTTTTTTTTCTGTATGTTAAAAATCATACCCTTATTTTTTAGATAGTATTTTTTATTTACCATTACTATTTCGAGTTTCTTTTTCATACGTTTTATTTATTTTATTTATATGAATATTTTTGCAGTACTTACTGAAATTAGTAATATAGGCATAATGCACTACAGAGGCCTTGTTTAATTATTACAAACTTCGGTCGATAGAATAAATGTTTTCAGCATTAGTGTGCTCTCAAACATCTTCCTGAGTGTGATTAGATAGTGATCGAGACGACACACAATCATTACAATCAATGAATATAAAGATTGTGATCAATGATTAAGTAAACTCTTTTAATATTATGATTATCATGTCTCCAACAACCAAAAAAAAAAAAGCAACCGTTCAACAAACAAAAAAAAATATTACCATTACTGACAACTTCAAATGTATCTGTTCCAACTACTTCAAGTGTTTCCGCTACTTCTTTAGCAATTCTAAATAGTCTATTGTCCCTTCACCTAATTAAAATACTCCTGTTGTTCCTTTTACAGATTTAACAAATTATCATATGCTGTTACAACAACATTATTCTTCTGCCAACTATTTAATCCTTTAGTTTTAAATAAAATTAATAGCTAATATGAAGAAGTATATATTGAATTTTATTTAAAGTTGTAATTTTTTATAAAGAATTAATAAAAAATTTTTTTAGTTATCTCATCTTAAGTTTGCGTGTGATATATCATTGTAATTAATGAAGAAAACTTTGATCATTTTGCAAGATCATAGTTCAATCTGATCTATTTGGTTGTAATATTTTTGCTTTGTTTAAAAACCGTTGCATTTATCTAATAATGAGAAAATTATGCAAGCGCAAAACAGAATTGCTCTGAATATGTAGTTATTTTTTTTTTAAAAAAAAAAAGTTATTTGAAATTTTATTTACATTCCATTAAAAATATTGTATGCAATATTCCAGTCTAAACTTAATATTAATTTTAATTCTCTAAGGGTACTCTCAAGCTCCTCAATCAATAGATCGGTGTATAAATTTTAATTAATAAAAATTAGTTCAGCCGATCAAGAAAGTTTATCACTGCAGTCAAAAAAAAAAGATATCTTTTTTCTTTATAGAGATATGTTGATTGGGCAAAATTTATTATAAAGTGAGATTATTCAAGCACTTTACGATCAAATCATAATTTTTTTTTATGATCGAACTATTATTTTTTTTTATGATCAAATCTTTTTTTTTTTTTTTTTACGATCGAATCATTATACTTTGCACTAAATACACTTCTGACAATATGGATCTTCGCCGTTCAACAACAAATTACTTTTTTACTCTTCGTGCTAGAAACTTTTATGATAAATGAAAAATATCAAGAAACCCTCAAAAAAATAACTGACAATTTGGATTATTTCTGAAATAGTATTAGCATTGGATGAACTTGATATTTCATCTACAACTTGTAAATTTTCTTGACTACTATAGTAGTAGAAGTTTGATTATTGTCACTAATGGATAACTTTAAAAGAGATATCTAAAAAAAATTTTTTATTAATTCTTTATAAAAAATTACAACTTTAAATAAAATTC